GGTGTGTGGACTCAAGACAGAAGACAAAATGAACCCTGGCAGTAAAGTACAGTTTCTAGGAGCCTTTTACATTCCAAATATTTACAATCAATTCAGACTTAGATCTTCTTCGAACAGGATGTGGCAGGTTGACTCCAGGTAACAGTGTAGGAGCTGCAGAGTGAAGTGTTACAGAAGCAAAACACAGCTTGCAGCCCAGTGGGTAAGGTGAAACACACAGGTAATGTTAAGACCAGTTGCTACAGTTGGAAAGACAGGCTTTCATGCACACAAGTTTCTTAGAGTCTTCATTATAGACCAATTTTGTTCCCATCTGTCCGTACTTCAATCTAGTAAAGCTTTTAGAGCTGAGGAGTTCACAAAACTTACATGCATGTAAGCATAAATACTACATGCATAGATAAGCTAAAAAACCCCAATATACAAATTCCTGTGCATCTGCTCTGGACAGTTTTACTTTTCAAACTGCATAATTTGCTAAGCTCTTCAGAGATGACGTTGTTTTATGACTTTCATGATTAAGTTCCTTTAAAAAAGTGCAAGCAGAAAGCTTTGACTGTTCTAATGTACTGTCTTGAAAAGCTCTTGGGTTACTAATGCCTACTGCTGAACACCTGATGAATACCCCTGTCCCAGTTCTGGCTGGGATAGAGTTAGTTTTCTTCCCAGTAGCTGGTACAGTGCTGTGTTTTGGATTTAGGGTGAGAACAATGTTGATAACACACTGATGGTTTAGTTGTTGCTGAGCAGTGCTTACACTAGTCAAGGACTTCTCAGCTTCCCATGCTCTGCCGACTGAGCAGGCTGGAGGGGCACAAGAAGCTGGGAGGGGGCACAGCCAGGACAGCTGACCCCAACTGGCCAGAGGGACATTCCATACCATGGGACGTCATGCTCAGTACACAAACTGGGGAAAGCTGGCCGGGGGGGCCGCTGCTCGGGGACTGGCTGGGCATCGGTCGGCGGGTGGTGAGCAATTGCACTGTGCATCACTTGCTTTGTATATTCTTTTATCATTATTATTACTATTTTATTTCAATTATTAAACTGTTCTTATCTCAACCCACAAGTTTTCTCACTTCTACTCTTCTGATTCTTTCCCCCATCCCATCGGGGGTGGGGAGAGTGAGCGAGCAGCTGTGTGGTGCTCAGTTGCCAACTGAGGTTAAACCACAACAACCCCCAACAGAAGGGAAGGACTGCTGAGACAGGTTGACTCTTACCTCCCATGCATAGAGTATGTGCCTTAGCCCCAGCTGCTTGTAATCGATGAAGGGATTTTGTCTTAGATGATTGAAAGCCATATGATAGTCAGAGAGAGCTTCTTCGTACCTACAATGCAGAGATGACAGGAAAAACTGAGACTATAAAAGCTGAAGACGAACTTCTTAGTTCAAAAATCAAGCTAGCAAACAAATGTATTCTTCCCTGTAGCCTGGATGAGGAGAGCCGCACCAGAGACATGTCATCTTCTGACCACAGAAAATTCCCTGTCCTCTCCTTGTTGGTAGTTAGAACAAAATGAACATGGTGTGTCTGGGATTATCTGTGCAGTTTTACTGATTGGGACGAACAGTAGGTTTTGATACCTGAAATAGAGTTGCAGTTCCAAGGAGGAGAACATGTAAAGAACAGAGATTAACAAATGCTGTGAGCTCCTTGCCCAGCTTGCTGCTGGCAGTTTTGTCCCAGCAGACGTCTCAGGGGAGAAGCGAGGGCTGGGAAACCCCTGCTGCTGCTGAGTGTACATGCATGGTCAGAGCAATGTGAGCAGAAATTTAGAGAAACTCTAAGGATAAGGGAATTAGTCTGGATTTACACCAGCTATGCAACTGAAATCAAAACAGGTTCCCACTGAGGCTGCAAGTGGTGAAATGACAGTTCGAGGAAGGGCTGTGCAGCGGTCACCCGACCAAGAACCAGCGAGCATGGCCAAGAGGAGGTGCCCAGGTGGATGTGGGTAGGTGGGAGCAGCATCTGATGAGGGAAGGAGCCATGGGGTGCTGGTGGCTGTCACCTCCTCAGGTGGGGGGCAGGTCTGCCAGCTGTGCTGCCCCTGACCTGCTGCACAGCCTGTGTGCTCGGGGCAGGCTTGCTCCACTTCTGCCGGCTGTGGCACAACGCGGGGAGCAGAGCGGAGCAGCTCCAGCGTGCCGGCTGGGACTCCACTATCCCTGACTGCAGCTCTGCTGGCAGAGGCACAGAGCATGTAGCTGCTTGATGGGCCATCTGTGAGTGCAGAACTGCTCACTTTAACTCCCTCCCAGAAATAAAGATAGTCATTTTGTGGAAATTAAGGTCTGGAAAATATGGGAAAAATAACAGGAAAGAGAATAACTGAACTTTGGAGGTAAGAAAGGACCTGTTAAATCCTCCACCCACCTCTGTGAGCAGGATGTCACTGCAATTTAACCCTGGAAACAATGAGTAATCAATCCCACGACACTAGTGCAGCAATCCCAACATTAAATCAGTGAGATTGAGATCAGGCCTGCAAAATACGCTGTCAGCAGAGAGAGAGAGTCAGATGCTGTGGGCAGACTGCATTTTTAGGAAGGCTAGAGTCACATGTGTCATGTGAAGATACACCAAGCAGTGCAATTCTATTTTCCCAAAGAAAATCTGAATGGCAACATAACCTCCTGGCAGCCCTGCATACAGGAGCAGCTTCTTTCTCTGTGTGTATGGGACAGTAACGTCATATATTAGCCACCCCTGGGGCCCCGGAGTTGTGCAGCTTGTACCTTCTCAGTCTTATCAGAGATAAGACTTGCTGACCTGCGACATGGTTTACAAGGCCAAACTGGACTTTAAGAACTCTTTAAGATTGCTGGAAGAAGTGAATTTTAGTGTCACAGAATCATTTAGGATAAAAGGAGAAAACCAAAGACTGAAATGGACATGCGCCTCACTTACATTTCCAGCTGCAGACGGACAAACCCTCTCTGAAAGAAGCCAACGGCTAGGGAGTTGTCCTTCGCAACGGTTTTATCAAATGCCTAAGGAGAAAAACACAGACATATCCCAAGGATCAGCTAGGATCTCTCCCGTCAATGCCTGGGTGTATGCACCCAGCCGGCCACAGCCAGGCGGCACTTGCACTGGGCGCCGAAGCCGTCTCTGGGCTCGTGACCAGCTCCTCTGGACTGACAAGCGCAGGGCTGTGATCCGGGCTGAGGGGCAGGAAACAGCTCCCAGCCATCTTTCGGGTCTTGGCTCTGTACGAGCCGAGCTTCAGCTTTTTATCCTTCCTTGGGAAAATGGACTGAACGTAACGAATGAGATACGTTTGCCATCCAGCATCTCGTAATGCTGGAAAACCGCGTTGCCTGGAGCAGAGTTTGCCCTGACAGCGGGAGCAGCGGGACCAGACCAAACAGAGAAGGCTGTTCGAAGCAGCCAACCGTGATGAGTACGTGAAGGGGTGCGAGGGAGATAGCTGAAGGGCTCCGCACTGCACCTACAAGTCAATATTTCTGGTCCAGTTTCCCAGCTAAATACAGGCAAGTATTAGCAGAGCTGGTAGCAGCTTGTGGCTGATGGTTCAAAGTAACACTGTGCTGGGAAACTGTCTTAATGTCTTTCTGAGAAAGCTAGGAGGTGTGCTCCTTCACTTATCATTGCAAAGAGATGGTAGGTAGATAACAAGTCAGGTCTGAAACCCCGGGCTTTCCTGGTACTGCCTAGACAGGGATAGTGTTGCAGAGGTGAAAATACGTTGCAGGTCAGGGAGCGACTGCGCCTTTCGGCGAGGTGGCGGCTGGCTTCTCCTGTGGCTCCGGCCGCACACCTTGCTTTAACAGTCCGCTTCACTGCGCTACCAAAGAGAAAAAATAAGCAACCAACGGTTGACCGATGCGGAAGCGCACCGAGATTCTTCCCAGTGGATGCCCATTCATCAGGGCTAAAAAGAGGCTCTCGGGCACCATCGTGCTGCGCTCACATGCCCTGCCCGGGGCTCCAGGGCCCTGCCCCGGCCCCTCCAGCACAGCCTGAGCTCTTCTTACGGCTAATTCATAAACAGCTGAAATGCATCTCCCCGCCGGGCAGCTGACGGCCGGCCGCAGACACGCTAGGTGCCGTAAGGAGAAGGCTTTTCCTCGGGGCGCTTTGCCTGCCCGCCCCAGCGCAGGCGGCTGCTCTCCCCTTCCGAAGGGCAGCAGTTTCCCGGCCCAGCCGCTTCTTGTCGGCGGGTGGGGGCGGGCGGGCCGGGGGCGCCGGGGCCCCCGCC